GATCTTTCCAGCTAAACAGTGTCGGATCTGGTTAGTACTTAGATGAGACACCAGCTGAGGGAACCAGTAAGCCTAGCTTATAGCCATACCACCCTGACCACACCCGACTGAGCAACACATTTACTGAAGTAGTTCTGAACAGTGCTAAATCTTAAAATATGAAATACTAGCATATGACATCAACCAAGATTCATCTGTCAAATCATAAAACACCCAAGAAAGCTCTCTGATCAGAGAAAACTGCTTTGTTTACTATGTTTGCATTATCTGTCAGTATAACATACTTGATGACCTGACATTTACCCAAAATAGCACATCTGCGCTTATCTCCACATACATTTACATGTACATATCTAATGCCCCAATGCAAATGCATGCTCACCTTCCTTTTTTTGAAAGCAGACTGCTTCCTCTTGTCTGATCTGTGCAACCAAGGAAAAAGACCAGTGGAATCCCCCCCCAAAGCTCCAGACCTGCTCTGACCTCTTTTTGTTCAGGATCTGTGCTCTGACAGCAACAGTTTTACTACTGCTGTGTGTGGGTGTAATATCAGTCTGTTACATTGCTCCCTTATTGTCACTCACTATAATAAATACAGTTTTCTTTAAAATAGGTAATCTGAGTCAGTCATCAACATAAATAAAATATGCAATAATAATAAATAATCCTTTTTTGTTCTTTAAAACAGCGGCTCCCAACCTTTTTTAAAGGGCACTGGTCCGTGGCTGGGGGTTGGGGACCGCTGCTTTAAAACACTAAAAATTAGATGACTTACATCTCAGGGGGACTTAGAAATGAAAACAAATACAATGCTGATATTCCACATCTGTAAAATGCAAATAAAATGCATTTAGGAATGTTTGAAACGTTGTGCACTTTCTCTCAACCTCTAACTAATCTTGAGAGTTAGATATTTTTTGCTTTGAATCACCGTTTCACTTTGTGAACCACTTAAAAGTTTGAGAACCAGAATACAAACAAAGTGACTCATCAAGAAATCTTAGATCATGTGTGGGGGGGAAAACATCAGCAGTGAGGATAATACAGTTCTTTGCTGCCCTCTTCAGGTCAAATGCAGAGCAGTCATCAAAGGAAGAAGAAGCATCAAATGCATCACACGGGGATGCAAAGTCAAAGCACACAAAGGTCACTGCAGTGGGCTTTGTGTGCTTCTATAGCTGTGAAAAACCATCTACACCATAAAGACAGCAACGCAGTTCAAGCAGAAGCAGGTGTTTGATGGAGAAGCTGATAAAAGTGCAGTTTGGATTCAGGATGTGTGAATTAAGTATATACACAACGCATATGGATATATGCATGTACTTGTATTTCTCATTAAGAAAAAGGTCAGCTCAGAGTTTTTGACTTCCTTCTGTGGATGAGCACTGACACCCACACCTCTGTTACGTCTACACCTTTTCTGCCGATGTTGTAACTTCTCTCTGTGGCTCTTTTGTTCAAACTGCACTCGTGCTGGAAGAGGTTGAACAGTGAAGTGAGAGTAAAGGATGCTCAGGCTTTACGTGCTCCTGGTTCCTCTCTTTAGAGCCTGTAAGTCCTTCACACTCACTTTTTATTCATTTATGCTGTAAATGAGTTGCAATTGCCTTAAATCTCTCTATCTTGTGTTTGTGGAGTCTCTAACTTATCTTGATTTGTGTTCCAGATGGTGCGCTCCTCTACGCTAACCTTGGAGATAATGTGACTTTTCATTGCTCCTTTGCCTCCAGGGCCAAATATCTCTCCTGGTACAAGCAAGTCATAGGAGAGTCACCTCGAGTCATATCCTCTTTCTACAAACATTTACTCGACTCCAACAGCTTCCACCCCGGGTTTAAAAACAATCAACGCATTTCAATTGATAGTGGAGAAAATTTCTATCGTCTGAACATTTTTAATGTTCAGGATTCTGACTCGGCCATGTACTACTGTGGACAGACCAGCATCTCAGTCACTAAATTTGACGACGGAATGTTTTTGGTCCTGAGAGGTAATGTGGAAAGTTTTTAAGATTTGGGAATATTAACAATATAAAAACAAATCTGCTTTTTTTTCTTGCACTTCCTATTTTAACATGTGTTTTTAATACTTTTTCAGAGCCCAGTCACAGGACTTTCCTAAAGCAGCCAGAATCAAACTCTGTGCAACAAGGAGACTCGGTGACACTGAACTGCACGCTGCTCAAAGGATCCAGTGCCGAAGGAGACAACGTTTACTGGTTCAAAAAGGATACAGTAGATTCTCACTTGGGAATCATGTACAGCCACAAAAATAGCAGCAGCCACTGTGCGAAGAAGTCTGAGTCCAGCTGCTCTGCACAGAGATGCGTTTACAGCTTCACAAAGAAGAACGTGAGCCGGTTTGATGTCGGGACGTACTACTGTGCTGTGGCTTCATGTGGCGAGGTGCTTGTTGGGAAAGGCACGAGACTGGATGTCGTAGGTTTGGAACATATGTTTTAAAACTGAAACCTATTATAGTTTCTTTCACCCTCTTATTTTCCTCTTTTGCTTACTCTACGTTGCTTTCTATGTCTTTGCAGTGAAACAGGACGAAGCTGCCCCTGTCTTGGTTAAGACTGTGGTTGCAGCTCTGGTTGTCTCAGTTATTTTCAATGTAATCTTCTGTGGTGCCCTCTGCAAAATAGTCCAGAGAAAAAAGTGTCCTTCTAAAGGTAACTATTGCCTATCATAAAAGCACTCTGATGACTATAAAACATGTCAGCAGTTAAATTTCTCTTTCCTTTCTATTTCTTTCATAAGGGTCACTTCAACAGCCTAATACTAAAGAAGACACTGCGAACTGTGAGGTTAGTAAATGAGAAAAAGCACAGTACAGTAAGTCTTGAAACACCTCTGATTTCTTACATTTAGCTTCAAAGCAGCTAGACTTTGTGGTCATTTGTTAAATGGTCTTGAGCAATAGTTCTTCACGCTTTCTCAAGAGTTTTTCTTTGGACTTGAACGGCTTTTTCAGTCATTTTCAGTCCAGTGCCTGATCACTGTGGGGAATAATTATCAAGGGATGAACCAGTGCTGTATCAACACATAACACGCAACTTAACAATGAACAGTGTTGGGAAGGTCCCTTTTAAAATGTATTCCACTACAGAATACAGAATACATGCCCCAAAATGTATTTTGTAACGTATTCCGTGACGTTACTCAATAAGAGTAACGTATTCTGAATACTTTGGATTACTTAATATATGCTTTTTACAACTACATGAATGTCCTATTGTTGTGTGATTTATTACTATTACTGAAGAATACTCGCCATACCAATAACAACTAGATTTTGAAATCTTAATGTAAAATGAGTAACAGTAGGCAGTAGCGGTTTTTGATACGGGCGACACGGGCGGTTGCCTGGGGCGGCATCATGGTGGGGGGCAACATCACGGGCATCGGCAAAAAAAACAAAACAAAACAAAACAAAACAAAAAAAATTGCTCGTACTCATGCTGCCCCGATGTCATGCCAGCGCATATTGGGAATGGCATAGGCACCGATCAGTTTTCTACCGCCCATTTGCTGGGAGTAAGGGCGCCCTCCGTTTGCGAGGTGCGCCTGCTGCTTGCTGCACAGGGAGGAGAGGGCAGGGCGGCGGGGGATTCTCTGGCTGGCTGGAGCAGCATCTAATAACCAACTCGCAAAATAAAACAAAATAAAAACAAACCAACAAACACAAAAACACCAGACATCCTGATGCAGACTTATAATTTGCATCGATGTTTTTTCGAAATTCTATACGCGTAAAGTGAGTGCGAGAGCCCTCGGGGCGCCTGCTTGCTGCTGAAGTCAAAGTAAACTTTATTGTCATCTCCGCTACATACAGTCCAGTAATTAGAGAGACGAGACGACGAGGCTCCAGTTACAGCAGTGCAAGTAAACAAACAATAAACTAGGGGTAAAGGGATCAATAACAATTTATAATTTACAGTTTGATGATTTAAAGTCTCACACACAACCTGTCGAAAGGGGAGGGGGCCCGGCTGCTTCCAAATAGAGCACATTTCATTCATAATGATGTAAATCCAAGTCCATTATGTATTCATTATTTGAATCCGGGGTTGTGCGAAATCCCAGAAATAAACCTTAGACAAAGCAAATCTGTGAACTAAGGTGTAGGTCTGTTAGGTTATGTTGTGGTGATCCTCGAGTTGGGGGATGGGTGTTCATACTGGAGTGCAAAATTAAAACCGATGGAAGATGGACAAGAAAAGTTCAAAGCCATCAGGTGCTCAGTTTAGAAAAAAGAGAAAAGAAGAGGAGGAGAAACGAGCAAAAGATACAGGTAAGCAGAGTCATTGGATAATGGCAGGTCATCCTGAAACAATCAGAGTCAGAATACTTTATAAATCCTTAAGGAAATAATGTGGGTTACAGTTGCTCCAAAACGAAATGGTAAAAACGGTAACAGTAACAGACTAAACTCCAAACAATACATTATGTTACATATTTTAATATTAATTAGTCATTGTCAATTGTTGATTTGTCCTGTTCTCATTGTATGACGAATTATGATGGCTGTTTGGTAGCCGTTTGCATACTATGCATACTCTCTCTCTCTTCATATGTGTGTGTGTATATTTCTCTGGTGAAGTTCGGTATGGTTTTATGGTTTTATGTGTGTGTGTGGGGAGGGGCGCCAGAGGGAGTGTTCGCCTAGGGCGCCAAACAGGCTAGGACCGCCACTGACAGTAGGGTGGGTATTAGATGAGGCTGAACTTTTTGCAGCGATCCGGGATAGAAACTATTCCGCGCGTATATAAAACAGGTCTGCGGCTCCGAACCGTAGTAAAGGGACCTCTAGCTAATATGTCGGGTTTCGTGTCGGGCTCGTAACCGAAAACTAGCTTTACTTTGTTGTCTGGGTCAAGTTTGAGACAGAGAGAGGCGTTGAAAGGCTGCACCAACGGAACTTGTTGTTTCAGAGGAAAACACAAACACGGTGTACAGTCGAGTCTTAATAGCTTACTTACAACTGGGCTCGTCAGGCACTCTTCTTGGCTGCAGTGGTTATTATTATATTTACACACTTCCATCTCACTTTTCTGGTTGGTGACAGCTCGTACTTTTCCTTTTTCTCCCTCCCTCGCTCACAGACACATAACGGGTATAGCAGTCCATTCTCCCAGCATCACGGACTACACTGCCCATGAGGCTACATTGTTTAGGGCTGTGCCTGTAACACTATACCTATTGCCTTCATATTAAATCATTTTTTAAATAATATTTTAAAAAAATATTTATTCACGTCATTATGCGGTCCGCAAGGATAGTTGACATGGGCCGCGAGATTGAGACACAAGCATTAGAGCCACTTAATGCGTGTTTTGTTTTGGTTTCCACCAACGTGGAATTACCAAAAATAGAGAGAGCATAGCCTAACAAATGAAACAGGAAAAGACCTCCGTATAATCTATTTATTTCAACAAAGTAACTGCATTCTGAATACCACCTTTTTAAACGGTAACTGTAACGGAATAGTTACTCATATCTTGTATTTCCGTTACTCCCCAAAACTGACAATGAACTAATATTAAATTGTATCTTTAGGCACAGCACATAATTTCTTCCTATTTCTTTAGCTGAAGCTTCCAAATATGCCAAAGATAGCACAGCCTGACAGAAATAAAATAGCAACTTTGCACCAACAAGACAAAAGGATCTGTGAGCCAAATACTTGGTATATCTCAACACAGCGTGTCTATAAATATTTGCATGCATGAGTAGGAAATGAGAATCGTGTTCTTAAGAAATAAGAAAATCACCAGCAAAGACCTGACACAGCTCCTGAGAGATGCATCCGGTCTTTCAGTTAATCCATCAGATGAGAAAAACCTGAAGTATACCACCGGCAGCAGGTTTTATGGAGTGAAAAATCAAAATGAGAAAATGTCAGTTCACATCATCGTTAGTATGTATGGAGGAGGTCAGGATAGAAACATGACAGTGAATGTCTACAGCCATCTATCAACCACAGAGGAGACTCTGTCATGGTTTGGGGCTGCATTTAGCCAATGATGTTGCGCATTTTGTCAAAATTGATTGAATAAAGTGGTAGATTGAGATTTTAATCCATTTCATTTTTAATAATAATGATCCCAAACATGCTGCTAGTCCAGTAAAAGCCTATATGTATAGAAAAAGAAACAGTAGAACACTATCAGTCATGAACTGGCCCCAGAGCCCCGATCATCCTGACAGAGAACAGAATAAACACCAGCCAACGTTCAAAGAAGAGCTTTGTGTTCTTCAGTTCTGGAGAACTATTCCTGAAGACTACTAAATAAATAAAAAAAAAAGATTAAGAGTTAAGGCTGTGTTGAACAGGGTTAGTGTCCATACAAAAAATGTTCAAACTTGTTGGAACTGTGCAAAGCCTGCCGTTGTCTTTTAAACTGTATTTCCACACATTTCACATTTTCCTAGTAAAATATAAAAAATGAGGGGTGGATGAAGACTTTTGCATTGCACTGTATATGGACAAATTCTATCATATGGCTTTTGTATTTCCCACAGAATGAAGACTGTGCTGTTGTGCAGTATGCAACTGTGAATTTCAAGAAAAAGACAAGTAGGAGACAAAGAAAGGACACAGTCAACGACCCAATCTACTCTGCAATTAGAACGTCTCACGTGGAGTGATTTTGTTCAGTCAAGTCAAAATTATGGCCACTGTCTCTCCTACATCTGTGATGTTGGTTAATATTAACTTCTCAAAGAAGGTTGTTCGATTAGTTTTGGTTGTTTATTTTTAAAAAAAAAAAGAGGATTAGGCTCCAAGTGGAATAAATTTCAAGATGTACTGATGGATGGAGGGTTGGGTGGGTGGGTGGATTGCAAAAATGTTTCCAATGCAATGCACCTAAATGAGTTATTTGATCAACAGTGCAACAGTGCAGACATTAGGGGCAGGACTGTTTGTGGCTGAGTGACCTAAATTCACTTTTTCATAACACAGTGGAAAAAAACCCCCAAAACAAAACCGCCCAGTTTCACCACACAATGCCACTGGTGCCCAAAGTGGTGAACAAGTAGCCAACTCAGTGTTCCTGGCCTATTTTAAAGAGGAAAAAAAGTTATTACAGGAAACACATTTTGATGTACACTCTTTCATGTCTTTGGAACAAAACTACTTTCAGACAGTATTCATTTGTGCACACTGAGTGAAATCACAGTGGAATCTAGCTTAACTCAACTCTTAACTCTACTGAAACTCAGCATATACGTTAAAATCTATGAGCCTACATTTGGTGACCCAACTAAATTTCACTTCTTAAACTTTTCCTGTGGGTTTGAGTTGTTTGTGAGCATTTAAGCTGTGCATTAATTTTTTACCAGAGGTTGGACAAGTAAAAAAAAAAGTTTGAAATAACTCAAAACATGTTTTGTATTTTAGATTCTTTAAAATAGCCACCCCTTGCTTTGATTACTGCTTTGCACACTTGGCATTCTCTCTATGAGCTTCATGAGGTCGTCACCTGAAATGTTTTTCCAACAGTCTTGAAGGAGTTCCCAGAGATGCTGAGCACTTGTTGGCTATTTTGCCTTCATTCTCACATCTCATCCCAAACCATCTCAACTGGGTTTAGGTCATGTGACTGTGGAGACCAGGCCATCTGACGCAGCACTGACTCTCCTTCTTGGTCAAATAGCCCTCACACAGCCTGGAGGTATGTTTGGGATCACTGTCATGTTGAAAAATAAATGATGGTCCAGCTAAACACAAACTAGATGAAATGTCATATCGCTGCAGGATGCTGTGGTAGCCATGCTGCTTCAGTGTGCCTTCAGTGAAAAAAGGGAAAAAAAGAAAAAAGAAAAACCATTAAATGAGAAGGTGTGTCCAAACTTTTGACTTGTAGTGTATATATGAACTTTATTTTTCTAAACTAAGAGAAACAGTCTTGATGTTGAAACAAACCTTACTATATTCCAGGGTCTAGAGATTTTGTTTGAGGGTTTTGTGGTGCTTGTCTTGTGTCTTTGTTTTTATTCTAAATTTATCTGTTCTTTTACTTTGTGAGGCTTTGCTCCACATTGCATATGTGTGTCAGGGAAATATTAAGTTTAACTTTCCGTTATTGTTCAGCTAAGGGAGCAGAGTTAATGGCAGGTAAGCAAAAAGAGAAAAACTGCTTTATATTGGAAGGTAAAGACCCTAAATTAATACAGAGACAACCCCAACGATCAGACAACTCCCTATAAACAAGCGCTTTGGCAGCAGTAGGAAGGAAAAACTCCCTTTTAACAGGAAGAAACCTCCAACAGAACCAGGCTAAAAGAGTGGCAGACATCTGTCACGTTGGGGTGTGGAGAGGAAGACAGGAGATATTCATAGTGTGGAAGAAAACCAGATATTAATAATAGCTAAGTAAAAGTTGGTAAGTCAGTTATCTACTGGCTGAATCCCCATATTTATTGTACTTGTGAATTACCCCTATTAGAAAAATGTGACAAATGTCCTCCAAATGCAGGGATGTAAAACTCATTTTACATCGTGGGCCACATACGGCCCATTTTTGACATTAAGCAACCCAAACAGTAAAACTACATGTTAAATGTGTGCTTTCTATGTGTTTGTTTTTTATTAAAAAAAATAAATCTGTCTTTTAATTGTTTCTGTTTTAGTTAATTACTTAGTATGCAGTATGAAAAGAGATGGGAATCAAGAACCGGTTCTTGTAGAGAACTGGTTCCCAGTAGTCCAATTCCCCAGAATCCTTAGTCTGCCTGCATATCGATCCTGCTTCTTGGTTCTTACACTCTCAGATAATTTTACACAGTAACATGAAAGCAACTTATCGAGTAGCATAAAGAACATCTTTCTCCTGCGTGTAATTAAGTAATGTAATGCATTACTTTTTAAGTTTTGAGTAATGACCTCAGCAATGATCAAAACAAAGAGCGGAAATGCCTCCAGCATCCACAAACATTCGACCACTGAATGTAATGTTACTGATATGGATAAAGCTGTTAAATTAGTAAAAATGTTTTGACATTTTAAATCTGCGTACGCCTTCACATTTTCTGAAGCTATCCAGTGGCACAGATTGGTGTTTTTACTAGGCTGATTCCTGCCCCCGGGCCTTATGTTTGACACCCCTGCCTAAACGCAACACATGCTGTCAGGGTCCTGGGACTGGGCAACCCAGGATCCCTGGGCAGTCATGGACCTGTGTATTATTATGTATTTTTGGTGTCGTTTTCCCCTTCTCTGTGCGTGTACATATGTGTGTTTCTCTGTGCTGTGTTAGTCTGTCCCACTCATATGTTTAGGCGAGGTGTGGGTGTGTATGTCTGCGGGTGTGCCTGGAGGATGGAGCTCGGCCACCTGCAGGCCTGAGGGGTGTGGCCCTGCGGAGGGACTGGCCACACCCGAAGCCACACACCTGCCGCTGATCAGGGCTCGTCGGGGGAGCTACTTAGGAGAGTCTTGGAGCTCCCACCGACGCGGGATCATTGCACGAGACTCCACGTTAGTCTTCTGTTCAGTTAAGTTAGTGTGCGTGTATGCCCGCAGTTGTATGTGTCCTGACGGTTGCGTCTATTGTTTCCCACAGGAGGAGCGTGGAAGACACGAGAGCAGCGAGCACCGGGGGGTGCTGACACGGGAGCAGAGAGCACAAAGACACGGACTATTCACGGAGAGACACAACACGGGAGTCTGGGAAAACACGGGGATTTATTGTTACTTTGTTGCACACTGTAAATAAACACACTGTTTATACATAGAGCACCGCGCCTGGGTCCTCCTTCCCCACTCCTTCCACGGTGTGCCATGCCATACCGTGACAGATGCAGGCCTTTATACAGTGACTGTTACAAAAACAGAAAAAATACACACTCGCTGAATATGATCTCTGGGCGAGAATCACGTACGGATGTGGGTTTCCGTCATGTGCCACAGGAAACAGCTATTTTTGTGTGAATCACTTTCAATTTTAGACCATCTGAGTGATTAAATTTGGTTTGTTTTTTTTTAAGTTAAACTTTTTTTGGACTTCCTCTTTTACTTTTACTTTTTTAAGTAACACTCTACACATAAAGGATTAGAAAAAGAATGACAAAATTATCACAATTATCAGAGGATTATTAGGGGATCACTATAAATCCTTATCACTTTATAAGCATATTTGTGTGGTTATTTTGTTAGTTATTGTCACTCATGTCTTGTTTATTGTGGGTTTTTTGTCTGATTTTTGTAGTTACCCTGATTATGTTCCACATTTCCCTTCCAATACCTCCTGTGATTGGCACTCAGTATGTTGGAGCGTCCTGTTTACCCAGTGCTCCCTGTTGATTCTTTGGCCCGAGTTACAAAGCCCTAAATACATGTTTCCGTGTTTTGGAATCCTGTATGTAGTTGCTGGCAGTCACTGGGACCTCATTTTCTAAAGCACAGAGACCCAAATTTACAGTCTGTCAGTGACCTCATGATTGCCAGGAAGTATATGGTGCTGCACTTTAACCTACCTATGGTCACAAGCAGAAACAGTTGCTCTTAGTGTGCACAGTAGACTCTGACTTGGTTGCAAACACTTGCCAACTAGTTTCTTAATCAGTAGAGAAAGAGTGAAAAGTGTGCCACAACCTAAAAACTGAGAATGTTCACCTTCAAATCAAAAGGTTTGCCTTTCTACTGAAACCAACATGGTTCATAGGGTGAAACTTTCACTTTAAAGGTGAACATTCTACTTGTCTGGGTTCAGCTTGGTGGTAAGCTAGTGAGTCCTTTCAGACGTGTTGGTGTCTTACATAAAACCTCTGCCGACCGTTGCTGAAGCCTTAAGACTTTATTTTAAATCCTTTCTTGGGTTTGTTTTCCTTTTTCTCAGCTAGTCTGTCTGAGAGATTTGCGTTTAGGCCCCAACCCTTCTTCTCATGACAACAGGGACTCAGTTTCTGCATAGTGTGGAAAGAATTTTTAGACTTTCTTGGCTGGCAACAAGACTTCAGCCAGCGTTACCACAAACATTGGGTCCAACAGGGTTGCCTCCTCAGCCCCAACCTCTGTACCCTGTTCACCCACGACTGTGTCGCCTCCAACAAAGATAACATCATACTGAAGTTTGCGAATGACACTGCAGTGATCGGTCGCATCACGGGACGGGACAAGGTGCCCACAGGAGAGAGGTGGCTGGTCTGGGGTCATGGTGTGAGGACAACAACCTTAACCTCCACACTGATAAGACAAAGGAGATGATAGTGGACACGAGGAAGAAGAGGAGGCCTCACCAGCCGCTGTTTATCCGGGACCGTGAAGTGGAAAGGGTGAGCGGCTTTTGATACCTGGGAATCCACATCAGTGAGGACCTCACCTGGACACTGAACACCACTCACTAGCTTACCACCAAGCTGAAACCAGACAAGTGAATTTCACCTTCAAAGTGAAAGTGTCACCCTATGAACCATGTTGGTTTCAGTAGAAAGGCAAACCTTTTGATTTGAAGGTGAACATCGGCTGTATTTCCTTAGCAGGCTGAGGAAATTTGGTATGTCGGCCAAGATCCTCTGCAGCTTCTACAGCTGCACTGTGGAGAGCACATTGACCAGCTGCATCACTTCATGATACAGCAGCACTACTGCTATGGACCGCAAACGCCTGCAGGGAGTGATAACAACTGTGGAGAAGATTATCAGGACTCCGCTGCCCTCTCTGCAGAGCAGAGGAGAGCTGCCTCCATCCTCAAAGAACCCACACACCCCCAACATAGGTTACACCTTCATAGACGAAGGTTCAGAAGTGTGAAATCTAGAACACGACTCAACAACTCCTTCGTCCCCACTGCTATCAGACTCTACATCGACATCAGCATACCACACTTGTCTTCACTTACCTATTTGTACTTTTTTTATTATTATTTTTAATTTTTTTATCCTTATTTTATCTTTTTTAAATTATTTTTTTTATCTTTTTTTTATTTTATCTTGTTCTTTTAACCCTTACCTAACTTTGCATTTGTGAATCTAAATCTATATATATGCTAAGATCAAAGCACAAGAATGCATAATAAAAGATTAAAATTATTAAACCATTAAAACTATATAAACTATTTTTGCACAAAATGGTTAATTTATTAGTCCTTTATTTATCCAGGTAAAAATCTCATTGAGATTAAAAATCTCATTTCCAAGAGAGACCTGGCATCATGGCAACAAAAGTCACATAATAAATGTTAATACAATGGATGGAAGTACAGATCAGTTTAAAGTTTACATATCAGATAGAAACTAATATGTAAACTGGGTGGACCCTGCAATTTAATATCAGTTACGCTTTAGACCAGCAGAGGGCAGTAGCCCACCATTATTGTGCTTTGGTAAACTTGTGAAAAGATCAACATTTTGCTCAAGCGATCACACAATGCTTAGATGTGGCCGTGACCACTAGATATCTAAGTGGTGAGATATATGTTATTTCAGGTAAGCTCACCACAAAGGCAAGATGCTTGTCTCCACATATCAAAGACTGATGTTTGTGAGACGTGTCTTGTTCAAAACACAAAGCAATCCACCCACACAGTGAGGTGTTTAGATGTGTTGTTGTGGTTGACTGACATAAAAAGCTACTCGCTGCCCCCTTTGTTCAACCCCCCGAAACCCCACGATCATGACAACGTTTGATGTCTTAAAACAAACACTTTTCTTCTTTATTGTGTAAGAAAGGTAGCAAAGAAGCAGTGGAGCAATCTGCTGGAGCACAGTGCTACTTTTTTTCTGAAATTATGGAATTTCACAAGTGAGTAAGTCAGGAAGTTATGCTTTTAACCTGGTGCCATGATGAAATGTGACTGTCATGACTTCATTTGACATCATGTTATTTATCCAGAAAGAACAAACAAACAAACAAACAGAGGGTCGTAAGGAGTGGATGTTTGTTCAACTTTGATCTTGTTTCCTATTAAGACGGATGTGTTTTTCAGCCGGCTGAGTAATAAGAAATGCAAAAACACATCTCGCTACTGAGTTCCCACTGTGGTCAGCCTATCTAACAGCGAGTTTAAGCCCAGCGGTTTTTTCACCAGTCCCCCCACACAAACAACCCACCGCTCCTCCGTCCTGACAGGATGTCTATGTGGTTGTTTTTTTATGCTGTTTGTTTGTTCCAGTTGCTTCACAGTAACAGTTGTGACCTGTCACTTCTCCTTCTCACGTATGCTTTGACACTTATGTCTATTAATAAGTTCAAAACCTCCCCACAGTCAAGTCACAAAGAAAAAACAGTAGTGAAGTGATGCAGAGCTGAACCTGTTTGAATATATAGAGGAAGGAGGAGGAGCAATATGATAAGGTTTGTAGGGGCCTGGCTCTACCTTCTGTTCTCTGTCACCATGTTTTTTTTATAATTATTTTAATTTATTTTGCAAAAAAACATTTCATTTGGTTTTAAGTTGCTACCATATTCCTGTTTTTGATCCATTTTCATAAACTAATTTAAGCAAAATGCTTTAAGTGTGGGCCACTAAATGAGATATTTGCCCAGCAGTGCAGGCACGCATATGTACTGTGATAATGGAAATGCCCCCGAGTGACCTGAATTTACTTCTTGAAGCACAGTGGAAAAACATACATACTCCTCCCCATTGTGGTGTTCACAGTGTTTTTGACCTATTTGGAATATGGATTCAGTCTACATTCATAGTTTTTGATGGTTTTAAAACATTTTGATAAATGATGAGTTAATATTGTTTTAGGAAACCACAATAGCTTCTAGCTTTCTCTGGGTCTATTGAAACTCGGCAAGTACTGCAAATATATGAACGAAAAACTACAAAATAAGTTTGCTGACCAAGCCTCATGTACCTACTGTGCTTTCCCCTATATTCTGTTGCGTCATTTCTACTTTTTAAAATCCGGTTTGACTGACGATGCTATATGATTTTTATATTCAAATGACCATCAGAATTCAAGGCTTTAAAAAAATACCAAATTGTTTCACAATAACTACCAAGTGGCAAGACATGCTTATACGAGGATTTCAACACAGCCAAAGTTTAAAGTCACGAAACAATCCATTACTGTTGTGTTTTTCTACTCTTCTATCTGTGTACAGCAAGTGAGAGTGACTGTGAGAGATTATTCTTTATATGGTCATCTCAGCCACACATCTCTGGCTTCAAGCGCAGAAGCACCACCTACATGTAGCTCAACAGGCTGCCAATCAGAAGAGTTTGTTTAAAGGGCGGGTACCCCTAAAGCGGGAGGAGCTAAAACAGCTAGTTTCTACCAGAGGATGAACTGAGGGTGGTCTCACCAAGGCTCAGTATTCAATAACTTTAAAGTATATTCACACAAAGCTACTTTAACACAGTCCCAATAAAAAATTGGAGCTTTTAAACTGCACATGTTCATCTATTTACATGCACCCTTTAAAACTGAAGGCAAAGAATAAGCATAATTACATCAGCTACACTTTGGTTTTTATGATTTGAACACGGAAGAGCCAAATACACAAAACATCCGCTCATTTCTTTTTTTTCT